TCCCTGTGGCTGTAGCTGGCCTGGGCGTCTATGACTGACCAGAGGGAGGAAAGCCTGGATCCCAGATGGCTGTGATCAGCAGAAGAAGGGAATTCTGGGTCCCTGATGTGAGCTGAAGCAGAGGTGGATAAGGGCAATCAAGCAGGCAGGGAAGCAGTTAGAGGCAATCAGGCTGGCAGGCCAGTGGTTAGGAGCCAGCAGTTCTGGATTGTGAGAGGGATAGCCCACAGCTGGTTATCTCCTGAGGAGTCCCAGATTGGAGAGGGTGCAGGCTGGGCTGAGGGACACCTTTCCCCTCTCCCCCCCATGCACATGAATTTCATGCACTGGGCCACTAGTTATATATAAATGTATATGTCTTGCACTGCTTGAAGCCTTGCCTTTTAAAATCATATAACAGTGATTAAGAGTGAAGGCACTGGAATTATTTTAGTTACTCCATTGAGGTTAGAGTTTCTGCCAGTTTTCATGTAATGTATACAAGTTAATCACCCATTGATTTATTAGTTCAATAGGGAATAATAACAATACCAACCTCAAAGTTTTTAGATAATGCTCATAAAGTATGTAATATATATCCTGATGTTGAATAAAGTTGAGTTATAATTATTAGCTATAATTCTCTAGGTATAAACTATAAATCATAATAAAAAATCTGGTGATGGTGGTCTAGTTTTGAACCTATCCTAAAGGGAATATTACCAGCAGCACAAGACACACTGACTTACACTATCACAGCTTAAACTCTGGAAGTGAGGTTTTTGTTATTGTATAACACAATCACTGTGGCTTTCCCAGGTTTCAGCTGTTTTTGCCATTGTTATGGCAGGCATTGTGTTTCAGACCTTGAATCTACCTGTTTACCCCCATAGTTCAATAAATTCGGAAGCTTACTCTTTAACTTGTATTACTCAAGAGCCCCTTTTACTAGTAATTTGAAAACTTTCTCCCCATCTTTATGGTTCTAAGGGAGGGGTGGGGAACGTCTGGCCCATGGGCCATATAAGACCCAAGCAATCATTTGGTCTGGCCCTGCCAAGGCATTAGGGATGAGTCAATTAAATGTTTGTCCAAATATAGCAGGCTAATTTTTAAGCTGAAAATTTTGTATGGCCTGAGAATGATGTTAGAAATACCCAAGGGGCCCTTGGCAAAATAAAAGGTTCCCCACTCCCGTTCTAAGGGACTAGGAGCATGGCATACATGCTTTAACAGACTTTTTCCAAAGTAAGCTCTGAGTGAAGGTAGATGTGTCAAAGAAGCCCACATTGCTCTACATAAGGATGAGCTCTCCTTGTGGCCTGGTGCAAGACCCTTTAATTTTCTGGACTTTACTTTCATCACCTGGAAACCTCAAGAAAAGAATGAAACTGACCTCAACAAAAGGGATGTAACGGCTAGAAATTTTTCTTTTTCCTGTATGGCTTCTCAGATATTAAAACCTCTCATACATAATTGTGGATCGGAGAAAAGAAGATAGGTCCACAGACTCTGGTCTTGGCAAGAATTTTTTTTTTACCTGTTCTTACTTTTCAAGTTCACAGCCTTGAGACCCTTAGGATGAATCTCTTTAAGCATTTTTCTTTAATTCTGTCACCCATCAATCTCGACAAGACACCTGGGATGTCAGGTCACCTCTTATCACCAAAACCCCATTCACTCTTGATACAATTCTGTATGTCTTTTTACCCTTCCCATTCCTGACTCCCATGGACTGTTCTCCCTGAATTCATCACCAGGGACTAGCAAAAATTCAAAGCATTACTCTCTTCTAAGGGTTTTCTTCATCCTTATGGTCTAACAGATATCCGGGCCCTGCTCCTAACTACGAGGATATTTCTTCCTTTGCTGCTCTTCAGGGTGGTTGGTGATGGTCTTCTCTCCTATGCCTCACAGCTCTGGCATTGGAGATGGGAGTGGGTGTTACCTCTTTATTCCTCATACCGTTTTCAGACCATCTCCCTTCCTCTTCCTTTGAATTCCTGGCTTTGAATATCATGTCATCAAATGATATCCTTCATTGCCTCTCCTTCTTACAGCCATCTATTGATTTGTATCCATTCTCTTATATCTTAAACATTTTTGTCCCCAGACCCTTTCAACTTTCTCTAGCACTAGTCTTACAATAACTTTGTCATTTTGATATCCAAATAAATAAGCCCTCTTACTCATTGGCTTCTCAATTCCCTGGCATCTTTTCCTTCCACCATACTATATTTATTCTCTGATAGATGTGGCCCAGAAACTTTTGAAATATTTTTTAAAGTTTTGTTTTGTAGAGCACCACTATTCAACCCGTTCACCTCTAAACCAACAATTAAAACAAAAACAAAAAACAACTCTCATTGGGAGTCTTGGGGCCCCTAACGCTCATAAGAGGCGTGGCAATCAATTTTTGAATTTCTTCTCTACCTATATTCATTCCTTTGGTAATTCACAGCTTTAAGTACCATTTATATTCTGATAACTTCAAATTTATATCTCCTGGTTGGTTATTCCCTTGAACTTCAGCTCACATTCAACTGCTTAATCAGCATTTCTGTATAGACTTTCAATAAGCACTTCAAAACTAATATGTCCAATTCAGAAACTTTTCACTTCATGTTCTCTTTGTCTGGAAAGCTCTTTCCTTGAGATGTCACAGGCATCACTTCACTACTTCTAGGCTTTATCCAAATGTCTCCATATCAATGAGGACATCCCTGAATAGCCTGTCACAGTAGCAACCGTACCTCCAGCCCCATGTGCCTCACCTGCTCTGTTTGGATCTCTAACATTTAAGGCATCAGGACATATTGTCTATTTTACTTTTCTGATTTAGTCAGCCTCCTCCGGCTAGAATGTAATTTCCATGAATTCTAATAGTTTTGCTTATTTTTGCTACCAGACCCTTTAGTTCCAGACTCATTCTTGGCACATAAGGAGTGCCAAGTGTTGGGTGAATGAACATTCTGCTATTTTATTTCCTCAAAGAGTGGTATCAGGTTTCATATTTATTTTTCTGTTCAATAAGGAAGGTTATTTAATTTGTTAGAATACATACTTTCATCCATGGAACTCAAATATACTGTTTTCATTTTGAGTGAAAACAACAGCTGAAAAAATATAGGTCTGTATGTGTGTGTTTCTGAAAATATGGTGAACAACCATGTAAGGAAAGAATCCTGGGTTGTAGAGCACCTAAAAAATCTAGTTAAATATTAAAAAATAATTTTAAAAACTTGACTGAACTGGCAAGACATCATAAAAATAATAAAATGAGAACATTTAAGAAAGTCTGACTCTAGAGGGGTTTAATGCTCTTTTTAATTTTTTTAGGGCTCATATCTATTCCTGGTAGCCTAGAATTTTCCTAGGTAAGAAAAAAAATAGTAAAACATTTTCATCATCTGTCTATCTATCCACCTACCTATCAACTACCTACTAACCAAAGAAATCTATAGATTCAATGCAATTACTATGAAGATACCAATGATGTATTTCACAGAACTAGAACACATAATCCAAAAATTTATATGAAACCACAAAGACTCTGAATAACCTCAGCAATCTTGAGGACAAAGCCGGAGGAATCACACTACCCTGTAACCAAAGTACACTACAAGGTTATAGTAATCCAAACAGCATGGTTCTAGCATAAAAGCAGACATATAGATCAATGGAACAAATTAGAGAGCCCAGAAATAAACTCACATCTACATGGTCAATATTTGATAAAGAAGGCAAGAACATACAATGGGGTAGAGATAGTCTATTCAGTACATGGTGTTGGGATAATTGCAAAAAAACACACACACAACCACCACCACCACCACCACCCTACCACCACCATAAAAAAAAAATTACCCAGATACATGCATAAAAAGAACTAGACAAGTTTCTTACACTATATAACATAATAAATGCAAAATGGATTAAAGACTAAATTTAAAACTCAAAACCAGAAAACTCAGAGAAGATGTAATAGGCAGTAATATCTCAAACATTTCTCATAGCTGATATATCATCTTAGGCAAGGGAAACAATAGGAAAAATAAACCAACAGAAGTACATCAAATTAAAAAGTTTATTCACAGCAAAAGAAACCATCAGCAAAATGAAAAGTCAACCCAGAGAATGGTAGAACATATTTTCCAATGATACTTCTGATAAAGGATTAATATCTAAAATTTATAACGAAGTCATATAACCCAACACAAAAAAAATTAAAAATGGGCAAAGAATCTGAATAGAACTCCTCCAAAGACTACATACAGGTGACCAATAGACATATGAAAAGATGCTCAATATCAATAATCATTGGAGAAATGGAAATTAAAACTTTAGTGAGATATCATCTCGCACTTGTCAGAATGGCTATCATCAGTAAATCCACAAATGACAAATATTGGCAAAGATGTGGAGAAAAGGGAACCCTCATGCACTGTTGGTGGGGATGCAGATTAGTGAAGCCACGGTGGAAAAGAGTTTAAAGGTTTATAAAAAATAAAAAATGGAATTCCTTATGACTCAGTGATTCCACATCTGGGTATGTATTTAAAGAAACCCAAAGACTAATCTGAAAGAATATATGCAATATATGCACCTGTATGTTCATTGCAACATTATTTACATTAGTCAAGCTATGCAAATAATCTGAGTGCCCATAATTAGATGATTGGATAAAAAGTGGTAGCATATATATGCAATGGAACATTACTTAGCTATAAAAAATAATGAATTCTTACCATTTGCAATAGCATGAATTGACCTAGAAAAGATACTATTCTAAGTAAAATAATTCAGTTAGAAAAATACAAATACCATATGATTTCACTATAAGTGAGATCTAAAGAACAGTACAAACAAAACAGAAAAGAATACACTCATAGTTACAAAGAACAGAATAATGGTTGCCAGAGGGGTGGGGGGGTTGGGGGACTGGGTGATAAAGGTGAAGGAATTGAGAGGTACATATTGATAGCTACAAAATAGTCATGGAGAAATAAAGTGCCACATAGGAAATATGGTAAACAATCTATACTAATAAAAGGATAATATGCTAATTAGAGCAGACGTTTTCCGGACGTCCTTATGGACAAAGCCACAGTGGCTGCAAGGCCGGGGTTCAGACAACCATGAGCCCCAGTGGCTATGAGGGCCTAGAGAAGGCAGCAAGGGCCGCAGCTACAAGGCCTGGGGCTCAGGCCTCACAGCTGTAGGGGTGGCAGTGGCAGTAACAATGAGTGGGTAATGGGGGTGGCACCTTCCCCTGATCAGTGGGTTGCCTCCTGCAGTGGGAGGGCAGACTGCGGCTTAGGCCTGCTCCTTGTGGAGAGAGGGCCTAAGTCATCAGTAAGACATCCCCTGAGGGCTCCCAGACTGTGAGAGGGGGAGGCCCAGCTGAGGGACCCCACTCCAGTATACAAATTTTCATGCACCAGGCCTCTAGTATTGTAATAACTATGTATACTGCTTGTTGGATACTGGAAATATGAGGGGGAGCACTTTGTAAAGTGCATGATTATCTAACCACTATGCTGTACACCTGAAACTAATACAAACTAATATGAAATGTAAATCATAATTAAAAAAACATTTTAAATATTCTTAAAAATCTAGTGGCTGTATAAATTAATTTTTTTTATTTCAACTTTAATAGAGTATGTTCATTTCATTAATTGGACATAAATGTCCATTATTTTCTCCCAATGACAGAGAATTCTCCCCCACGTACCAATGTAGCAACTCTTCAGCTTCTTCACCTGTCTATCCTATCAGGGGTTATTCAGTAAATTAGTCAGCTTGGGTTGAAAAAAACAATACCATAGTCACTGGGTGGCTTAAACATCAGAAATATTTTCTCACAATCTGGAGGTTGTAAGTCTGAGATCAGGGTGTCAGCATGAATGGTTTCTGATGAGAACTTTCTTCTTGGCTTATACGTAGCCACCTTGTCACATGGATTTTCAGCAGAGCAGAGAGAGAGAGAGAGAGAGAGAGAGAGAGAGAGAGAGAGAGAGAGAGAGATCTGGTCTTAGAAGTGCATTAATCCCATCATGAGGACTTCACCTTATGACCTCATCTAAACCTAATTATTGCCCAAAGGCCCCATCTCCAAATACCATCCCACAGGGAATAAGGATTTCACATACTATAAATCTGGGGGGACACAATTCAGTCCATACTATTCATTATCAGGGAAGAAAAAAAGGTATGTTATTTGTTCCTCCATCCGATACCATTTGAAAACAGCTAAAGAAAGAAAGGGGAGAGGGATGAATGCTCAACTCATTTTGGAAGTGGAAAATAGATTTTAAAATAATAAAATTCTAAATACATTTAACTTAATACAGGAATCCACTGTTTCACAACTGCTGGAGAAGGGTGAGGGGGCATGTTGCTTGCTTTGTGTACATTTAGATGGTCTCCATTTGCCCTTTTAATTTTATGGTCACCTATCCCCCCAAATTCTACAATGGAGAAACTAAATATCTAAAAGTTGGCAACTAGCTCAAGGCTTCTCATTCTGAGTTTTTGTTCTATTTTTATTGTACTACTTTATCTATCTTTATATTGTCTTATATGTATCTAAATATTTTGCTTCTTAACTATAAAATTGAGATATTTTAAGGTTATATTTCAAGATAAAATATACTGATTCAATAAAGAATGAGCTTATAGAATGATATTTTTGTACATAAATATCTATAGTGTACCAAAAAATGAACTAAAGAGTAGTGTAAATTTGTTTTTGAGAATTTTTGTCTCAAAACTCTGATTCTCTACCATCTAAATTTGGTGATACTACTGTACATATATTTTAGAATTACATTTTCAATTAATCTTACAAGCTTATTGATAATATAATTACATCCTGCTACAATTTTAGAGTGTTAGCCTTTATACTGAATTATAATTTAGTTTATATTGCTTTTGCAGTATTTAACAATATAATAGAAAAGATAGATTTCTTGTAAAGCTCCCCACTGCTTACATTAATAGACATTCCATAAAGACACAAGTATTTTATTGTCTGAAAACACATCCTGCCTCATCTTTAAAAATGTGAAAACTATATTTAATGTAACAAATTATAAACAATCATTCATGCTGAGAGAAATGAATGCTATATTAAAAGTGTTCAGCAAATCTCTAAGAGATAATTGTAAGATGTAAAAAAGCTGTTTTAACCTATTACAAGGATACCTACATCTTGAATCCAGGCAGTTCTCTGTTCCTTATGCACTCTACCAGGAAAAGGAAAGCCAATAGGGTTTAGCTAATTTTAGTTAAGCTGATTCCTAAAATTTCGGGACAGATTGAATTTAGTCAGTAAATATTAATGGTGGCAGGAAGATACATTCCATACTAATTTTATAGGTATTTCTTATTCAAAAATAATTCTGGAATATACATTTTTAAGTTACAGGTAGGTAATTCATTTAACATGGCCTGAAGCAAGATGGCGAGGACACTAGTGATATACAAAAGAAATAAAAATATGAGACACATTTATAAATCAATATTTTCTAATAGCCACATTAAATAAGTAGAGAAAAACAGAAGAAATACATTTTAAATGCATTTTTATTTAACCTATTATATATACCATTTATTATTTCATGTAATTAATGTGAAAAATTACTATTTTATATCTGTTGCATTTTATATCCTTTTCTTATAAATCTTTGAAAATCTAATGTGTTATATAACTTGCAGCACATCTCCATTGATACTAGCCACATTTCTTGTACTCCTAGCTATGTGTTACTATATGAATAACACAGCCTTGGATTTTGGGCTTCCTGGGATCTTGGTCACTCATTTCTGTGATAATGCTTAGTACATAATAAATGGACAATAAATGTTTAAAGAAAAGAAGGAAAAAAATGGTAGCAAAGAAAAGTCATAAAAGAAGTTTGTAGTCAGATAGTACTATAATCCACTTTTTAGCTATATGACCTTGGTTAGGATATTTATCCTTCCTAACCTCGGTGTCCTTTCATAAGAATGTGATATTTGTTTCTGCTTTTCAGAAATACTGTGAGAGAATTAAATCAGGGCAACATAGCACCTACTAGCGTGTTGTTGTTTTTATAACCCATTTTCTTTCTGAAATCTAAATGAAGTCATATGTTAGACAACTTAATCTATTTGTTTCTACTTTTATTAGATCTAAGAAAAATGTACCAAACATGGTACTTTTTCCTCCCAATTACAAGTGAATGGATAGGAAGGAAGTATTATCAGATAGTAGGAGGTTCAAGATTTAGCCAAGGATGATTATGTCAAATTGCTTAGCAGGGAGTGGAATTAATTGCCCATGATCTTAATTATACATACTTAATTTGTAAAACAGCCTTTAAACATGCAAATCTGCATTTATATCTATGAACAGTTTGATAAATACGTTTTGTCTGCATGAATTTCGTTCACTGGTCCTCTAGTCATTGATAAGTCAACAAATAACAAGTGTTGGTAAGAATGTGGAGGAAACGTATCCCTCCTGGTGCACTGTTGGTGGGAATTCAGATTAGTATAGCCACTGTGGTATGGCGGTTTCTCAAAAAATTAAAAAATAGAACTGTCTTATGACCCAACAATTCCACTTCTGGGTATATATCTGAAAAATCAAAAATATATGCCACAGCTTCCCTCCCCCCAATAGGTTCATTTAAGCATTATTTATAATAATGAAGCAGCTATGGAAGCAATTTAGAGTTTTATTCCTTAGTGAATACCTTTATACTTTAACTCTATCCATTTTTAATTATATAATTTAGTAATTCCAAATGATACATTTCCTCCTGATAAATAAAAGATGTTGGAATCAGCTATTTACATAATTTTTTTCAGTCTCAAAATTTTTGTTAGTATGCTATTTATTGGCTAGAGGCCTGGTGCATGAAATTAATTCACAGGTAGGGTTCCTAGGCCTGGCTGGCAATCTGGGCTGGCTGGGGCCTTCCTTTGTTCTGCTCCGCTTCCTGGTGGTCAGCACATGTCATAGCAAGTGATCAAACTCCCAGTCTCCTGGTCAAACTCCCAAGGGGACACTTTGCATATTAGTCTTTTATATATATGTAGATTGTGTTATCCAAGCTAGGATAAAAATCTTATGTCACAATCATTTTATTGAGTATTTTGTAGACATTTCTCCACTGCCTTGCTGCTTAGGGCTTTGCTACTTATCCTTATATTGTTCTTTTGCCTGGATGAGAGAATTCTTTATGTTTGAATCCTAATACTATTTCTGAGATGTGTTTTTGTGAGCATCATACTGTGACAAATTGTTTCCTGATATAAAGCATGCCCTTCAGTTTGAAGATTCTAATCCTATTTTATTTTAGTAATTGCTTTTTAAACTATGTCTTTAATATGTTTTTGTTCTGTTACTTGGTTTCTTTTCTTCTTTTGCCTGTCCTGGATCTGTCATTTTTTTTGTAATCTCTTTAAACTCTATTTTTATTATTTCATGTTGTCCATGCCTGCCAATCCTGTTTGCAAAAGCTCATAGTCTGACTTTATTTCTGTGAATGATTTTATTTTTTTTATCCATCAGCTCAAGTAGTTATTTCTATAGTCTCACTATTTAACCTCTTATTGGGGGATTTTTTTAATAGAATCAATTACCTTTTTTCTTCCCAAACCTTAGGCAGTATGTTTAGTCAAAACATATACATTGTTTGTGGCAATAATTTTCATCTTTTTTTCTAGAAGTACTTTTCTCATTGTGTGCATCTGTCTATATTTTTTAAATCACCTTTTCTATTTTTTTGTGTGTGTCTATATAATCTTTGTACACTTTTTATGCTAGTTATTTAAAAATTTTAATTACTCACTTTGAATGAGGTGAGTTCTTCCTGGACAGGCTCTGGTAGGAGGTATAAGTATGCATGTGGCCAGAACAGTGATCCAGGTTAATAGGAACACCTATAATGACACAGGTCTATGTGTGTGCATGAGTTCTTTTATCTCTGGCTTCTCCCCAGCCATATCATCTCTACAGTGAAGGACAGCTCACATTCCTGACTTCCTTTCTTTCAAGGAAGTTGAGTCCTAAAATATGGCTGATCTATGAGAATTTTTTTATTCAGCTTCACCTTGAGACCTTGTGAAGATGTGGTCCAGTGTGCTTCTGTTGTCAGAAAAAGCACCTTGGTTATATTTTCCCAAAGGGATTTTCTCCCCAGGCTGTGACTGCTTATTTTAGAGAGCTATTCTCTGCATTGTGTGAGATCTGAAACTGTGGGCATCTTTAATTTCCCCCTCTTCCTCTCCCATTTCTCTCTCATTTATATACGGAAGTTTGAACCATGTCCGTTAAGGCCAGGGGTGATTCTGAGGAGGGGTAGTGAAGGATTAAAGAAGACAAAGAGAATGCAGTTGGGACCAGGTGGAGCACTGTGCCTGGATGATGAAACAGTGACACAGTCTGTAATCCAAGGCTTTATTTGATAATCAGATTACACAAAGCAAAACAAGGGCAAGATATCTACAGTGTTTGTGCAAGTTTCAAATCTGATTCTTTCCTGTTGCCATTCTCTTAAATTCTATCAAGCTTTGTTTAGGCAGCACTTGCTGCACCCCC